GCGACGAGAGGCCCAAGTCTGAGAAGAAGGAGGGGACAACGAAGACTGAGAACGAGGGAAAACAGCGGGAGAGGGGTCAGGAGGAGGAAGCGAAGGACCAGAGACGGGAGGAGAGGGGGAGGAGGAAGGAGAGGGAGAGGGGAGACCAAGGGTCCGAAGACCCGAGACAGGAGGAGGAGACGGCAGCTGCTGCTGCTGCGGCTGCTGCGGCTGCTGCTGCTGCTCCAGCGGCTGCTGCCCCTGCTGCTGTCGCTCCTGCTCCTCGAGCCGCTGCAACTCTCTCTCCTCTCTCTCCAACTCCAGCTGCTCCTCACGAGCACGGCGAACACGAGCCTGGAACCTGGTCGGGTAGGGGTGGGGGGAAGGAGTAGTGTCCGGGGCAGCGGCAGCCCCAGAGTCGACCTCCGAAGCACCAAGCACACCACCCCCAGAGGCAGCACCAACACCAGCTCCAGACCCAGGCTCTCCAGAAACCGAAGGAACACCCTCACCCCCAGACGCAGCACCCCCAGACTCCGCACCAGCACCCCCAGACTCCGCACGACCAGTACCAGCCCCCGGAAGACAAGAGTCCTCTGCAACCCGCGGCTCAGCTCCAACTCCAGCACCCCCAGAACCAGAGACCTGTACAGGGACAGTCGCAGGACCAACCTCCCGAGAGGGAGCACCTGCAGGAGGCGGCGAGGAAGACTGTGGGGAGGGAGGCTGTACAGGGGGGGCTACCGAAGGGGGAGGGCTAGCCTGAGACACACCAGACGGGGCTGGACCAGGGGGGGGAGGCTGTACCGGGGGAGCAGGCGGGGGAGCGGCTGTCAGGAAGAGGGGGGGAGGAGGAACCGGGAGACCTCGACTGGGGTACCTGACGTAGTAGGGGGTGGACTCCTCGAAACGGACGTCACGGGAGTCAAAGAACCGGTGAGAGGGAGGGTGGTAAAAGGTGAAGTCAGAGGAGTCCTCAGGGAAACCAAGGAAGACACAAGAAACGGCGCGAGGCGAGAGCTTGTCCGCGGAGGTGTCGCGGACAAGAGCCAAGCACCCCCAGACACGAAACCTCGACGCGACACCAGGGGACCCTGTCCAAAGACTGGTCGGTGAAGCCTCCGGCCGAGAGACGCGTGGCCAGAGGTTCAGCTGGTGCGCGGCGTACCTGACTGCGTATGGCCACAGGAAATGGGGGGCACGGGCGTGAGTCAAGGAGGTGCGGGCAATCTCCATGACCAGGCCTATGCGACGCTCAGCAACCCCATTCTGCTGTGGGGACTCCGGAAGCGTCCAGGACTGACGAATGCCCTGTTCGCGACAGAATCCAGCGAGAATGCCGGAGCGAAACTCGCCCCCGCGGTCGGAGTGGAGACAGCTGACACGACGACCACGAGTGTCCTGGGTGGTAAGCAACCACCTGATCAGCGTAGAAGTCACCTCAGACTTCCTCGCCAGGGGGAACACTGTGGTGTAGCGGGAGTAGTCGTCAACGACCACCAAAAAGAAACGCTCACGCTCAGGGCCAGGGCGAGGAGAGGGGCCCCAGACGTCCAAGTGCAGTGTCTCAAAAGGCTCGGTGGCCGGACGAAGGGAGGAGGAGTGAGGGGTGGCACGCAGCCTACCCTCGACGCAAGGACCGCACGGTGGTGCAAGGGACGGCGGCAGCGACGGCAAGACACGCGGGAGACCTAAGACCAGACGCTGACTAGACATAGCACGCAGACGTGGAAGAGAAGGGTGTCCCAGCCGGTGGTGCCACAGAACGGTGGGGTGGGCAAGCGACCGACAGGAGCAAGACGCAGCGACTGGACTGGACGCGACAACCTGAGAGGACGGAACCACCTGGTGAGACGCAGGGAGGAGACTAGGGGGAGGGACAGGAACTGGGAGGAGGGGCTGCTGTGACGGCGGCCGCTGTGGCTGCGGCTGCTGCTGCTGCCGCTGCTGCGGCTGCTGCTGCTGCTGCTGCTGCTGCTGCGGCTGCTGCTGCTGCTGCAGTCGCTGCTGAGCGCGCGGGCCAGTGTGAAGAGTGTAGAGACCGGAGCCCGGCTCAGCAGCAAAAGTGGCGAGGGGCTGGTAAGAGTCCCCGTCAACACACACCGCAGTCTCTCCAGAAGGCTCAAACCACACACCCACGTGCTGACTCACAAGGGGTCGCACGCCCACCAAGTTCCGGGAGAACGAGGGGACGTGAAACCCAGTGAGAGACCCAGAAGGAGCAGCCGGACACGGCAAGGTGGTAGTGTGACGCGCGGTGACTGGTCCCGAAGTGGGATCAGCCAGCGCCACAGAAACAGGCGCAGGAAGAGGCGTAAGTGTCGTGCTGTCACGAAAGAAGCAGTGAGAGGCTCCAGAGTCCAGCGTGAACGACAGCGAACCGTCCTCTGAGGTAGCCGCTGGACTAGAGTCTACACAAGAACCTACACTAGCAACAGGCAACTGAGCAAGGCTAGCACCTAAGCTAACAACACCAGAGTAAGCAGAGTCAGAAACACTAGAGTCAACAACAGCATACATAGCATGAGGAGCACCAATCAGATCAACTAACTGCTCAGCAGACATGCCCCACAGAGCGGAGCCGTAGCGCTGAACCAGAGGAAGCCAGTCAAGGGCAGGACCGCCAACCCCGTAGGCCAACCGGACCGTGTCAGTGAGCTGAGCAAAGCACTGACCAGGGGGGTGAAAGCGGCCACAAGGGTGGCCCCGACGAGGACCTGTCAGAACCTGATAGGTGCAGGGAGGGTAAGCAGCACCACGCTGGGGCTGACGCAGCCCCGACCCCGGAGCCAGCTGCTGACGCTGCTGCTGCTGAGGCTGCTGGGAGGAGAGGGGCTGCTGGTGCTGCTGAAGCCGCTGCTGACGCTGAGCCTGGTACCACGCCGCTGCTCCACCTAGCGGGGCCGGCAGTACAGGAGACGACTGACGAGCTCGGGCGTCGCCACCACCAGCAGGCGCAGTGGAGTCACCAGCCGCTGCACGAGAGGTCTCTCCAGACGCTGCACTCCCACCACCGCCAGTCGCAACAGCACCCCCACTACCTCCGCTACCTCCGCCTCCACCTCCACCAGAACCACCTTTCTTGCCCCCCTTGCCGCGGGACCGCGACGCAGTCGTAGCAGCAGCTGCAGTCGCGTCAGTAGCGGCAGTGGCAAGAGAGGCAGTGAAGGTGGGTAACTGCGGGACTGTGCACCCGTGGAAGAGTGGGGGGGGCACAGCACCAGAGGCGGCAGCTACCGAGCGAAGGTTGCTCTCGACGTCCTTGAGCGCAGACTCAAGGACCTCAACTGTCAGCTCACTAGGGTGCTTCAGCAGGAGCGCGTCACGTACGGAGGCAAGGCGGTCAGGGAGGCTAGTGGCGATGAAATAGATAGTAATCGCCATGGGGGGAGGAAGCAGTGCAAGCTGTGCCTCAGTGCAAGCAGCGCGGTAACTAGCGTCGAGCGAGCGGAGGTGAGCGATCAGGTCAGCAGAGCGCTCAAACGAGGCGAGATCAGGAAACAGGAACGGGAGGAAAAGACGGCCAAGAGAGACAGTAGCGGGAGTAGAGTAGCGGGCCTTAATCGCAGTGAGGTACGCAGCAGCGGTGCGAACCTGAGTGAAGTGGACCTCCTCTGACTCAGGGAGGAGGCTGCTGAGTGCGATGCAGGCCGCAGCGTCACGTGACGTCCAAGCCGTCCTGTCAGCGCGCTGACGGGCAAAGCGAGCCGTAGCAGCATCGTCAGGGGCAGGACCTAAAGCGGCAGGCTCGGGGGGCTCGGGGAGGTCACCAGTAGCGTGCGACCAGAGGGTCTCGCCCCCCTGGACTTGACTCTCTAACAGACGGCGAGCACGAAGAAGCCAGACGGAAAAGTCAAGAGGTCTACCGTCAGCGTCGAAACGAAGAACTCGCGGAGTCGCCATAGCGAAAACTAACGCGAACGAGCAGGCGAGTAACAGCAGGAGGTAAGAGGCAAATTAGGGTGCAGGTGGGACTTAGTCGCAGCGGAAGAGCGGGCTAGAGCGACGGGCCAGGGCGTAGGGTCGACGGGACGGGGGAAAGGGCGGGCACGATGCGACGGGGCAGGGCGACGCGACGGGGCAGGGCGACGCGACGGGGCAGGGCGACGGGACGGGGAAGGGCGACGCGACGGGGCAGGGCGACGGGACGGGGAAGGGCGACGCGACGGAGCAGGGCGACGGGACGGGGCGACGGGACGGGGCAGGGGCAGGGCGACGGGACGGGACGGGACGGGACGGGACGGGGCAGGGCGACGGGACGGGACGGGGACGGGACGGGGCAGGGGCGACGGGACGGGACGGGGCGACGGGACGGGACGGGGCAGGCCGACGGGACGGGACGGGACGGGACGGGACGGGGCAGGGCGACGGGACGGGACGGGGACGGGACGGGGCAGGGGCGACGGGACGGGACGGGGCGACGGGACGGGACGGGGCAGGGCGACGGGACGGGGCAGGGCGACGGGACGGGGCAGGGCGACGGGACGGGGCAGGGCGACGTGACGGGGGGAAAGGGCGCGACGCGACGGTGGGAAAGGGCGCGACGCGACGGGGGGAAAGAGCGCGACGCGACGGGGGGAAAGGGCGCGACTCGACGGGGGGGAACGGGCGCGACGCAACGGGGGGAAAGGGCGCGACGTGACGGGGGGGAAAGGGCGCTAGGCGACGGGGGGAAGGGCGCTAGGCTCGGCACTAGGCGCGGTAACAACGGAACCGGTACGAACGAGAGGTAGGATCAGGCTCGGGAGATACGAACGGAGAACGGAGGAACGGGATCCCACAGGATCCTAACCTAACTGATACCATGTCAGAATGAGGAATGGATGATGCATTGATGTTGGTTGGGGTACATATAGCTAACCCTAAGTTTTGTACCCCTTAAGACAAACCTCACTATAGGCTACAACATTTGACAATCTCCACTTGGTGCCATTTTACCAGTCGGAAAAACTCTGGCCAGAGGAGGAGAGGAAGGAGCGATTGGCCAGAGGAGGAGAGGAAGGAGCGAGAGAGGCCACCTGCTAAAGGATCAACTGCGTCTGCGCCTCCCAGTCAGGCTCCGCGGTTGAAGGGGGTGAAGAAGGCGTGCGGGGTTGCTCAGAGCGGTTCAAAACGGTTGAGAACTTACAGTAGAAGGTGAGTTGTTGCGCGAAGTTGTTGAGGAACGTCTGATTCGCCACCTGCTTGAGAATCGACTGAATCTGCGCCTCCCAGTCGGGCTCCGCCTGACCTTCCGAGTCCTGGGGGTCCGTCTCTCCAGCGAAGCCAGGAGGACTTGAATCGTCCTCTTGATCCTCATCATCTGAGTCAGGATCGTCCGCGGGAGGGCCGCCTTGCGCGGGTTGCGCGGGGGGGTCTTGCGCGGGGGGGTCTTGCGCGGGGGGGTCTTGCGCGGGGGGGTCTTGCGCCAGCGAATCAGAGCCCTGGACCAGCTCCGCCGCCCAGCCGAGATCCGCGGGGGCGGGTTGCGCGTCTGGCTCGGGTTCCCCCGCGTTCTGCAGCCACTGCACAACCCAGTCGGGGTCCCCGGACTGCGCGGGTTGCGCGGATTGCGCGCTCGCGAAGTTCGCCCCGCTTTCGCTCAGGAGACACGCGACCAGCAGCGCGGCGACGCCGGCGCTGCTAGCGAAAACCGCCCACGGGGTAACCGCTTTTCGCGCGCGGATGGCCATTTTCGAAGAGTCTTCCCAAAGTCGGGAGCAAATAAAGCACAGCCTTCTCAATAAATGAGTGGGGGAAAAGGATTCACTCAGTGGATACAGGAGAAATCAACAGCTTCAAATCTCGCTGAAATGGTGTGGGTGAACTTGCTTACGCTCGCTACCTTTATACCCACCCGACGAGCCCGAAACGCGAGAGCAGCGCGCAGGCCCCCAACTCATGCGCCCGACCCCGCGTCGCCGTCACCAGCCAGCCTGACTGGGCGAATCCTACCGCGAGGGCCCCGCGCCGCGCAACAAGTGGATGTTGACGCATCCTACCTATCGCCTGCCGTATGATTGGCTCGGCTGGGCGAATCCTATCGCTTGCCGTGAGATTGGCTCGGTTCTCGAGGGGAGACGGGAGCATTTTCGGGGTAGGTGTTAGAAGAAACGAGCTTGGAAACGGTTGGAAAGTTTTTCGCGATGAAACGGGCGGCGCAACGAGCGATGACGGATTTGTTTTACAGTCGACGGTTTGAGCCGAGTGGCTGTTGTTGAGTTGACTCAAACGCGTGACTTGTTCTATCAGACCAGAAACTGACTGTTTTTGTCGCTTTGTCCGATAAGCTCTATCCTGTCTATAATATCACTCGACACTTGCACGGAGCTCTGGGCGTTGCCGTGATGACGCCGCCGCATCGGCGCGCTGCAGCGGAGAAGTTGCTACTCTCGCGCACCAGGATTCCAAGATCTCGGCTCTTGACGGCATGATAGCGCAGCGCACTTGGTGCACCCACACGCGAGGTAAATACTCGTATGGTACTAGTGGCTTGCGGGATGCGACTGCAACGCTAGGGTTGCTGGCTAGAGACAAATAGCAGTGGCGCGAACGAGGCAGATTGGTCTGGGCGAAACGTGGGGAGGGTAAATTGACGAGCGTTCGCGGGTGACGACGAGCAGACCAAATCGAGCCAAAGATTGGAGGCGAACATTTTATGGGAAGTTGGTAACGAAGTGCCGTTTCGTCTCCCGCTTCACGATCTCTGACTTGAACAATGAAGGCAGGTAACCATTTTCGATTCTTACGGTGACAATTGTCGCCACCACACCCCGTAGTCGAAAAGAAACCATGCGAGACGGAACGGTGAGATATGCGGCACGTATTGTACATCTCGATAAAGCTAGCACGCCTACCAGTCACAATTTGTTACAGTGCTACAAACGTTTCCTAAGAACAGAAAGAAATCAAGTTAGATGGAAAACTCATCTACAAGGTGATGTGAACGAATGTGACTGAACGCAAAACAATGTAATCAACGAGAGACTTAAAATCTGTAACAAATTAGATTAAATTCTACTGAAACCGATATCTTGCTTAGGTTACCAAACTGCTTCAAATCCTGAATGGTGCAATGAGGATAGGGTACGTGACTTACATGCATGACAGGTAAGCATGCTCTATTGAAGTTTTGCTCTGTTGCATTCTACAACAGTTTATTCAAAGGTGGATTGCATGTGTCATTCATGAACTCCATAATGGAATCCATTATCTATCACTTTATTCGTAAAGCCTGCTCCCAAACATTGTACATCATCCATCCAGCATCGCTCACTCCATCCGTCCGGCCAATCCCTGGCTTATGGTCCCTCTACACTCCAAAACAAGCGCTTAGCTGTTTCGGATTGCTACTAAGTGGATAGCACCACTTCTTGCAAGAGGACGAATGGTTGAACGGAATAAGAACCATTGCCACTCTGTGCGCAACTACGGTATATTATCTGTCAGCCTGGCATTCGGCACACTTAGTGTCTCTTCTTGCAAGAAGACAGATTCTTCTAGTTGAGGTTGGGCGGAATGAGAACCATCGTCACCCCATGCGCAGCAATGTTATCCGTCAGTCACGCTCAGTGGAGACACGAACCTCGTCGGCGGAACCGACTGGAAATACACTTCGTTCGGCTTAAGAGTCTTGTTCACCGGCAGGTTCTGGTTGAAGGTCTGGAAGAGGGTGAGCGGAGCCGCGTCCAGGAGCTGCTGCGCAGTGTAACGGCCCTTGAGAATGTGGTAACGGAGTAACCGGCGCTTCTGCTTTGGCTTGAGCGTGTCCCACTGGGTTTCGTAGCGCCAGTAGCCAACATTCGTGGGGATGAGGATGGTTGCATCTTGGTCGATGTACAGCTGCTGGGATCGGACTGGTGGGGGGAGGATTGGAAAAATATAGGAATGGGCGAGCAGTTAGACTCTGAGTGAGGCAGGCACAGTGCCTGTGACCCTCATTGGTGGGGACGCGAATGGTTGCATCCTGGTCGATAAAAAGCTGCTCTGGTTGGACTGGCGGACGGAGAAATGGAGAGTAAGGAAGAGGGGAAGGCGAGATGTAAGGATTGATGGCATGAGAGCAATCAGGCAACGGGTGAGAACGGTAGGGAACTTACAGTAGAAAGAGAAAATCTGGCCGAAGGAGGAGAGGAACGTCTGATTCGCCACCTGCTGGAAGATGGTCTGAGTCTGCGCCTCCCAGTCAGAAACCCCCGAGGGGGAAGAGCGCGGGAAGAAGACGAGGGGGGTTGCTCAGAGCGGTTCAGAACGGTAGGGAACTTACAGTAGTTGGAGAAAATCTGGCCGAAGGAGGAGAGGAACGTCTGATTCGCCACCTGCTGGAAGATCGACTGTGTCTGCGCCTCCCAGTTAGAAACCCCCGAGGCCGCGCGTTCGTGCTCCATTTCTGCAACGAAGTCCGAATCGTCCTCCTCATCCTGATCATCGGCGGGGGGACCTTGCGCGGGGGGACCTTGCGCGGGGGGGCCTTGCGCGGGTGCTTCTTGCACCGCCGGCGAATCAGAGCTCGGGACCAGCTGCGCCGCCCAGCCGAGATCCGCGGGGGCGGTTTGCGCGTCTGTCTCGCTAAGCTGCGAAATCCAGTCTGGCTCCCCCGCGGGCGCGGGTTGCGCGTTCGCGAAGTTCGCAACGCTGCCGCTCAGCAGACACTCGACCAGCAGCACGGCGACGCCGGCGCTGCTCGCGAAAGCCGCCCACGGGGTAACCGCATTTCGCGCGGAGATAGCCATTCTCAAAGAGTGTCCCAAAGGTAGGGAGCGACCTAAAGCACAACCTTCTCAATAAATGGGTATAAAATGAGTAGGAGAACACCCTTCTCAGTGGAGACGGGAGAAGTCGACAGCTTCTAGCTGGAAGCTCGGATATCGCTGGAATGATGGTGTGGCTGACCTAACTCACGCTCGCTACCTATATAGTACCCCCACGGCGAGCCCGAAACGCGAGCGCAGAGCGCAGGCGCCAGCTCTTTGCCCGCGCGCGGCGCAGCGCAGCGCAGCGCAGCGTAGCGCTGCGGATTGATGAGTGGAAGCGCGCATCACTCATCATCTTGCGTCCTAGTACCGTCTCGTGTCGTCGACGAAACCAGTCCGACTCGCTGGATCCTATTCGTGCAGTTGACGCATCCTATCGTCAAATCGACCCCGCGTGCGACGTTGACGGGAGCACTCTCTCAGGCGAGGCGTTGGCGAGAACAGAGCGAAGCAGTTGGTGAGTTTTCGCGCAGCGAGTTGGGGGAAGACGGCCTTACTAGTATAGTTTACAGTGACCGTTGTTGAGTTGACTCGACACGTACGTGACTAGCGACCAGAAACTGACTGTTTTTGTCGCTTTGTCCAATAAGCTCTATCCTCTCTATAATATCACCCGACACTTGCACGGAGCTCTGGGCGTTGCCGCGATGATGCCGCCGAGATTCCGCGCGCGCGCTGCAGCGGAAAAGTTGCTGCTTGCGCGCCGGGAGTTTTCGAGCCATCGGCGCTTGACAGCATTACAGCGCCGCGCACTCTAGTACGCCCCGTACGTGAATACTACTCGTGCGATACTCGCGGCCTGCCAGATGCATCCGCAACGGTGATAGGGCCGTTGCCTTGCGCAAGTAGGGACGAGAGGGGAGGTTGATGGAGACTCGAGATTCGAGAGTTTGAGATTTCAGAGCCAGACATGCAGCAGGTAGTGCGCAAATAGGCGGATCGATTGAGCCGAATGCGGGGCGAATTGCGGAACGGGCGAGGGGGGGCACGAATTGAAAGCGGTAGTGGCGGGGCTTTCGCGGGCGATCAGAAGAATGCCCGCCCAACAGAGACCATGATTGGATTGGAGGCGAAGCGCCGATTGGAATCAGGTAACAGCAAGTGCCGGTTCGTCTCCCGATTAGCGTTAGTCTGGATTTTGTCCGAAGCTTTCGTGTAAATCTACACTGTTACAAGAAGATTCCTACAGTAAAAAGCCCTCAAATTAACCGCAAAACAAACACAAGTTGTGATTGGAAAATTTATGCTGCTTCGGCAGGCTGCATTGTCGACACAATGTGATTTAAATGCCCTCTAAGACCTCCCACTTCCATTTCACGTCTTGCTTTGTAGCAGAAGCCAAACCCACTCCCGATGTTGCATCGCTAGCAGCATTAGAATGCACAACCCCTTCAACTCCTGCTGCTGCCTTCATTCTATCCTCTTTAACAGCTGCTTCAACCTCCGCAACAGCTGCCGTATGAGTGTCAATCAAAGCTCCCACCCGCGCCTGTAGCCGCCGAGCCAAAGGCTCATGCCCCGAGCCTGTCAGCAGCTCCAGCAGATGCCGAACCTCCTCCAAGGTTTGGGAGGAAGGACCGAGCATCCGAATGTGCTCGACCAATGCTTGCTCCTCGTCAGGACTGGGATGGGTTGATGGGAGAAAGAAGCAACAAAGGAATGGAGATGGAGAGAGAGATGTATGAGTCAGCTGAGTGAAAGGCAAGGTGACGAATGCAAATGCGCCCGACTAATGCTTGCTCCTCATCAAGACAGGGATGGGGGTGATGGGAGAAGGAATCACGAAAGAGGAGGGAGGGGTGCTAAAGTGAACGCTAACAATGATGGGAGTTACCTCACTGGTTTGAACTAGCGAAACAACCGCTCTGTTGCTTGATTTAATGGGATGCGAAGGTGCTTTCTCCTCATCAGGGCATTGGAAGAGAGAGGCGAGAAAGGAAGGAGGGAGATAAATGTACGAGTCAACTTGAGTCAAGGCAGGGCTGCACCCACCCCCAACCCCCCCAGCCCCCCCAATCCCCCCAGCCCCCCAACCCCCCCAACCCCCCCAGCCCCCCAGCCCCAACAGCCGCCAACATCTGACCTGCCAGCGCGGATCCTCCTCCCCTTGTCGGCCTTCTGTTGTTTTCTCCTGGCCGCCCTGCCGCTCGTCTTCTTGCTGGTGGCAGTCCACCCACTGGCTGTGCTCACTCGGGAGGAAGAGCTGAGAGGTATGGAAGGGGTGGGAGGAGGCAAGGGAGGAAGCTGTGGGTGATAACAGGGGTTGTGTGTTTCCTCCTGGCCGCCCGGCCGCTCGCTTTCTTGCTGCTGGCCTTCCACCCACTGGCCATGCTCACTCGGGAGAACAAGCTGTGAGGCATGGCATGGGGTGGGGAAGGAGGGTTGGCAGGGGAAGGGTAAAGGGAGAGGAAAGGGGCAGTCGGTTGAGGTGCCACTCGCCTTCTTGCTCGTGGCAGTCCATCCACTGGCCGTGCTCACTCGGGAGGATGACCTGTGAGGTATGACAGGGGGTGGAGGGGTGAGGGCGAGAGGAGGGGGTGGTGATAGAGGTTGTGTGCTTCCTTCTGGCCGCCCTGCCACTCGCCTTCTTGCTGGTGGCGGTCCACCCACTGGCCGTGCTCACTCGGGAGGATGAGCTGTGAGGTATGGCAGGCGGGTGGAGGGGCGAGGGGGGGAGGAGTGGGTTGGAGCAGAACAGTTGAAGGCTTGCTGGTAGTCGTCCACCCACTGGCTGTGCTCACTGGAGAGGATGACCTGTGGTTGATTGAAAGACGGAGAAGGCAAGGGGGTGGAGGGAGGAAGGAGTGGAAGCTGTGGGTGGGGTTGGGTGTTTCTCTGGCCGCCCTGCCGCTCGTCTTCTTGCTCGTGGCCGTCCATCCACTTGCCGTGCTCACTCGGGAGGATGACCTGTGAGGCATGGCATGGGGTGGGGAAGGAGGGTTGGCAGGGGAAGGGTGAAGGGAGAGGAAAGGGGCAGGCGGTTGAGGTGCCTCGAGGCTTGCTGGTGGCCGTGCACCCACTGGCCGTGCTCACTCGAGACGAAGAGCTGTGAGGCATGGAAGGGGTTGGAGGGAGGAAAGGGAGGAAGCTGTGGGTGATGATAGAGGTTGTGTGTTTCCTCCTCCTTGCCGCCCTGCCGCTCGCCTTCTTGCTTGTGGCAGTCCACCCACTGGCCGTGCTCACTCGGGAGGATGAGATGGGTGTGATGGTAGGGGGTGGAGGGGTGAGGGGGAGAGGAGTGGGCTGGAGAAAAACAATTCAAGACCTGCTGGTGGCCGTCCTCCCACTGGCTGTGCTCACTCGAGAGAGGATGACCTGTGGGTGATGGTAGGGGTTGAAGAGGACGACCGAAAGAAGACGAATTAGAGAGAGGGTGTGCAAGTGCCTCGAGACCTGCTGCTGACCGTGCACCCACTGGCCGTGCTCACCCGAGACAACGAGCTGTGAGGTATGACATGGGGTGGAGGGGCGAGGGAGGGAGGAGTGGGTTAAAGCAGGAGAATCCAAGACCTGCTGGTGGCTGTCCCACCCACTGGCTGTGCTCACCCGAGACAACGATCTGTGCGGCAAGGGAGGAGGTGCGGAAGAGAAGGTTTTTGAGAATTCTCAAAAATCACCCGAGACAACGATCTGTGCGGCAAGGGAGGAGGTGCGGAAGAGAAGGTTTTTGAGAATTCTCAAAAATCACCCGAGACAACGATCTGTGCGGCAAGGGAGGAGGTGCGGAGGAGAAGGTTTTTGAGAATTCTCAAAAATCACCCGAGACAACGATCTGTGCGGCAAGGGAGGAGGTGCGGAAGAGAAGGTTTTTGAGAATTCTCAAAAATCACCCGAGACAACGATCTGTGCGGCAAGGGAGGAGGTGCGGAAGAGAAGTGTCACGAGTGTATGAAGATGGAAGAGAAGTGTCACGAGTGTATGAAGATGGAAGAGAAGTGTCACGAGTGTATGAAGATGGAAGAGAAGTGTCACGAGTGTATGAAGATGGAAGAGAAGTGTCACGAGTGTATGAAGATTTGCTTTTTGCTCTGAAACGTCTCAAAACAGATCTTCATACTCGTCCACCCACTGGCTGTGCTCACCCGAGACGACGAGCTGTGGGGCAAGGGAGGGGAGAGGGGGATAGTGAGAGACGGGCCCTGCTGGTGGCCGTCCACCCACTGGCTGTGCTCACTCGAGACGACGATCTGTGCGGCAAGGGAGGAGGTGGGGAAGAGAAGGGTTGAGAGGCGAGGGGGAGAACTGCCGAGATATGTTAAAAGCATGTGATTACCCAGCAGTGTAAGCCCGTACCTTGCAGTATAAGTGCTCAAGCCTGTAACGCCACTAGCCATGCTCCCCACATCACTCGATGCCATAGCGTTTCTGATGCCTCATCCATCCTCATGCCCCATCCCCCATACATAGTGCACGTTCTTACCCTGCTGCAGTATAAGCACGTACCCTGCAGTATAGGCACTCAAGCCAGTGACGCCACTAGCCATGCTCCCCACATCACTCGATGCCATAGATGCCGTTTCTGATGCCTCATCCATCCCCATGCCCCCTCCTCCATACTCCTCCCCATACTCCTCCCTCCTCCTCTGCCTCTCCACCTCCTCCCTCTGCTCCCTCTCGGCCCTCAGCTTCTCCTCCATCTGCACCCTTTTGCACCGCACTGCACCGAACCGGCGAACATAGGCTGTGATTTTCCCCTGTGTTTCATCCATGTCTGTTAGCATGCCCCTTGCTGCATCCACTGCTGCTGGAACAATCAGCGAATCAAGAAGCGCCACCTGTCCACACCTCCCCGCCTCCTCTGCTGCCTGCTCCCAGCAATGCGCCTCCACTAAAAGACGAATGCCGCAGCCCAAATCCCCCTCGTACTCAATCGCCAGCCGCCCGGCTTCGGCCCTCCTCCCAACCTCTACCAGCTCCTCCCGAAGCTCCTGCGCGAGTTTCCGAACCTCAGGCTCGGGGAGTCCGAGCCTGGCTGCTGTGGTAAGAGCCTTGCGCCACTGCCCAGCTTGGCGGTAGGCCTGGAGCGCCCGAGGCAAGTTGTTAGCTGCGGTGAAGAGCAGCGCAGCTTCGGGAAGCGAAGCCTCGGAGGCTCGGGAAAAGAGGTGCTCTGCCCATTGGTTGAGAATGGAGGTTCGGACCGAAGCAAGGGTAGGTGTGGAAGACGCAGCGAGGGAAACAGACGAGGAATCCGGCAAGGAGGAAGGGGAGGAAGGGGAAGAGGAGGAGGATGAGAGGGAGGGATGAGAGGCGATAGCTGTGGCAGTGGCAGCAGTGGCAACAGGGAAGAGTCTATCAGGGTGAGCTTGCAGCAGCACCATGACCTCCTCCACTAGCCTCCTCGCCTCCTGCCCTGCTGCCTTGCTCCCCTCTCCCTTGCCCTGCTCCCTCACTTGCTCCTCTCCTTTCCCCTCCTCCTTTCCTCCCTCTCCTCCCCCACCTTCCTCCCCTCTCACTCCCTCCGCCTCTCCCCTCCCCCCTCCCCTCCCCCCCACCACCATCAGCGGCGAATCAGAAGCCACCAGCTGGCCAACCGCCCCTTCCAGCCTCCCGAGCTTCACATCGATCCGGAGCCGCCGGATCGGCGGAGGCTCGGCGGCCAAGCCTCGGAGGATCGGGAGGAACTCCTTGGGGTCTTTCTGGGACTGGGCGTGGGCAGCTACTAAAGCCGCGAGGTTTAAATCGTAGAGACCTAATGCGGAGTTAAAGACGTGGTCTGGGGTGGTCAGCCACATGAGATGCTTCAAGGAAGCTTCCACAGACAGGGAGAGGGGAGGGGTGGCGGAGTTAGTAGATTCAGGTTTATCTGTTGACCCACACCCATCCACATGCCCATCCCTTGACACGCCCAAATGATTCACATGGTTATCCGCGCTTCTCTTTGCCTTGACTCGCAGGAGGGCTTCTTCCAGTCTGGGTGGCACACTGCACGCGTACGTGCTCAGCATACACGTGTCCCGCACAGCGCCGGGTGGCAGCTCGTCTTCTAGCGCCGCACGGAGAGCGGCGCACACAGCTGTCACCTTGCCCTTTACCCCTTCCCCTCCTCCCCCTCCACCCTCCCCAACCCCTCCTCCCCCTCCCCCTCCTCCTCCCACTCCCTCTCCTCTCATCCCAGCAAGCACCTCACCATACAGCCCTCCTCTCACCGCCACATCCTCCTCTCTCAGACCATAGATCACCTCACTCACATGCCGCAGGCCCCTCTCCCCCACCTGCCGCACAAACTCCCTCGCTCCACTGCTCACCATACCCAGATGCAAATCAGTAGAGGCCGCTTCACTCTGCTCTCTCTGCTCTCCACTAACGCCCATTTCACTCTGTGCCCCAGTAGTCGCCACGCCCACTCCAGCAAAGGATTTCCACCCACCGAAATCCACAAGCACGTTAGGGTCCAGCCTGTGCCGGCGCGCCAGCTCAGCAGCCGCCCGGAAGCGGCGCTGACTCAGCAGCAGCCCCGCCGCCCGGAGCACGAGCGCGCGGTGGTAGACCGATTCCAGACTGCCACGTGTCGCCTGGAGAACCACTGCTGGCTCCCCCTCCCCCTCTTCATCCCCCTCCCCCTCTCCCTCCCTCTCTTCCTCCACCTCCTCTCCTCCCACTCTCAGCCGCCCAAGCCCTGCCACCAGCACCGCTCCCCCTTCCCACAAAGGACAAGACAGCAATGATGACGGCGCCTTCCCCTTTTGTCCTTTTCTGCTGCCGGCCGGCCCGCCCACTCCCGCCCTCGTCCCCTCCTCCGACACCCTGCCTGGGAGTGCACCTGGGAGCGCAACAGAAGCGCCTGGAAAAACACCTGAAAAAACACCTGAAGAACCACCTGCGCCTCCAGCTGCTCCCTGGGAGCTAGAATGTGACTCTAGAGCCAAAGCAAGCAGGTCCCGTGTGACTATAGCGCCCGACACTGTAGTGAAGACTAGGGTGATGACGTGGCATGGGGATAAGGCCTGGGCTGCTGCCTTGATAGCCTCTGATTGGTGCGCTGACTCAGCCTTGGGAACTCCGGGGGCCTTGGGAACTGCCATAAAGTGCAGCACAAAGGACGAGCAGTCGCCACACACTGCCGTGGCCTCAGGTGCCTGTGGTAACTTGGTTACCACTCCAGTTGCTGGGTTACCAGGGAGAGTGGCAGAACCTACATACAGACGCCCTTTATGTGATCGCCCCACACATAGAACCACCACTGCTGCTGCTGCTGCTGCTTCTGCTGTTGTGTCTGCTAAATTTGCAGTCGATTTTGATAATGACGACGGCTGGATTTGAACCCTCGCCTCCACCACAGCAATCCACGGGCATGGCTCAGGGAATCGAAGCACCAGGTCCGTTGACGAGGGGGAGAGGGACGAGGAAGAGGGGGAAAGGGAAGAGGGTGCATGGGAGGCAGAAGGAGCGGTGGAGGAGGCAGTGGGGGTGGAGGAAGAGAGGTAGCGAAGGAGGGACCCGTCAGCGAGAGATAGGAAGACCGATGCCCCACTCTTAACAGCCTTCTGCTGCTGCTGCTGCTGCTGTTGGTGCTGCTGTTGATACAAATGCTCGTTTCTCTCTCCTTCTGCGTTCCCTCCCTTCAACCCAGCAGCACCATTCAAGGCCACAGCAGCAGCAGCAGCAGCAGCAGAAGAAGAAGCAGGTGTGCCTGCACTGTGAATAGCAGCACAAGTGCTCCGGATCAAACCCACAACCTTCTGTTTCAGACCCACCATCCCCACCACACTCATCACTGCTCTCTGCATCACCCCCTCCACACTCCCCTCTCCTCCCCCCTTCTCTCGACACAACTCAAGCTCCAACACCAGGTCAGCAAAGTCAACCGAGTCAACAGAACCAGCCGGCTCAGATAGTGCCTGCCCGGATGCACCCTGCTCTAAGTTTCCGCCATCCTTGGGTGTGGCGGCAATGACTCCCACCAGGCGGTTGGGGGAGAGCCACGCAGCGTGATGCATGCGAGCAATGTCGCCCCGTGTGATGGTGACGACGGTTCCGGTGGCGCTGGTGCTGTTAGTGGTGGTGCTGCTGATAGCAGTGCTGCTGTTGTTGCTGTCTAGAGTAGCTATAAAACGTTTGATCTGCGGAAAATCCCCCTCGCCATCATACTCCTCTTCCTCTCCTTCCCCTTCCTCTTCCTCTTCATCCTCTTCCTCCTCATCCTCATCCACCCATTCACACCCCTCTGGTCTCACCACCACCCCGACATCACCATTCGAAAGCACTGCTCCCACTATCTCAACTCCACCCTTCTTACCCTTTTGGACTGCTCCACATCCCTCCGTACCACTCTCAACTCCAACCGCATTGCTGTTCTCCTCCCACCAATCAAACCCCGCCACACCACCACCTGCCAGCTCAGCACCCGCCACCGCCACCACAGCAGCAGGAAACGTCTCTACCTTATGGCAATATGGGGGGGGAAGCAACCCCCCCCTTCCCCCCCCGCCCCCACCATTCCCCCCTCCCCCAGCGCCCCCATTCCCCCCGTGCAGCAGCAGCGACGAGATCCTCAAATCCTGGCCGTCGATCACAGCAACGGTGGGATTGCCGGGTGCGAGAGCGCCAGCCGTCCAGATGAAATCAACGGCCGAGATGATCCCGAGGGGGGAGAAGGCGAGGGCGGAGGAGGGGGATTCGGGGTGCCAGAGGAAAGAAGGTAGGAGGCGGAGAGAAGGTGGAGATAGGTTGGGGTGGGTCTTGTTGGTGCGGCGCTCATGCTTCAAGTACCACTTGTAGTTGCAGCGGTGGTATACCTGAACGGCCAGCCAATCACGAGTCTCCAACTCAACACTCAGCAGCTGGGAGTCGCTGCTCCAGTCAACTGCTGCCACGTGGCAGCCACAGCAGGGGCAACCAGCACCAGCTGGTGAAGAATCAGAACTGGAAGGTCGCGGGTTCAATTCCCGCTGTGGGCGAGGAAGTCCTGCAAGCTGCATGCGGTTTCTCTCGAGCCCGTTTCGCTCAAAAAACACAATCTCATGCACACATGCTGATGCCCTCCCACTTGCATCCCCTCCCCCTCCTCCGCCTGCTCCCTTCTCTCCGTCTCCTCTGCCCCGCCCTGCTCCCCCCATTTGCTGCCGCACAGACCCTGCTTCGGGAAACGAGGCATCTTTAACCCACAGAACCGATGTTTCACCCCTTGTCCTCTCCTCCCCTCTTCTCTCCTTCCCTCCTCTCTCCTCCTCCCTTCTCCCTTCCCCCCTTCCCTCCTCCCACTTGCACGCAGCAGCGGCTATCAGCGGGCCAGCTGGCTGCCACGCAGCAGGCCCCGTCAGCTGGTCCCCACATGCCACGTCAGCAACGGAGTGCAGGGAGCAGTTTTCCCTCTCCCACACTCGCACCACCCATCTACTCTTGGCCACCACACTCCTCTCATCAACCATTACTTCTGCCTTACTCTCCCTCTCCTCTCCTCCTCCTCCTCCACCACTCTCCTCTGTTCCCCCTTTTGGCGATCTTCTGCTGGAAGTTACGAAGAACTTTCCATCCCCGCGCCAGCTCAGCGACACCTCACCTGGGCCGTACGTGCCAGGTGGCAGCTGCTGGTTGGCTGAGAGCCCCTGATAGGAGGGAAGAAGGTAAAAGAGACCATTGGAGAGGGGAGGGATAACAAGGGACCGATTGAGGGGTGGGAACGAGAGGTAGTGATGACAGCTGTGGGTGGAGAAACAATGAGGGAGGGGCAGGGAAGGAGGGATGGAAAGGAACAGAGGAAAAACAGAGTGGAAAGGAACAGAGGAAACACAGCGTGGAAAGAAACAGCGGAAAGGAGCATTCAATGAAGGACCAATGGAGGAACAGAAAGACGGAGCAGCAGAAGCTGACCTCAGCAGCTGTAGCGTGTGGCTCGCGTTGCTCCAGAGGCACTTCCATCAGCACCTGCATGCCACGTGGCAAAATACACACATGGCAAATGCACACGTGGCAACACACACGTGGCAAAGCACAAACGCAGACACATACGAGTGCACAAACGCAGTTTTGAATGGCGAAGTGGGCACAGCATTTACGGCTTTTCAGCCAATGTGCAACAATACAGTTCACTACCATAATCAACGCACTTAACCCCCTGAACGTTTTATAAGCTTCGAAAATCTCTAAACCTCGCATAAACCCTCGACCATTCTTTTGCAATTCACCCTTGTAAGAATTAACCTGCAACCTTCTCTGCCAATCGCTGGCAATGGTAAGCAATCGCCCTGCACCAGTCACCACCGCCCCCTCCTCCTCGTCTGGCGCCCACAGATAAACCCGTCTGCTTTCTGACATGTGACACTTGTAAGAGTATGCACCCTCACCTGCCAGTCGCTTGTCATGGTGACTGCACCAGTTACCACCGCCCCCTCCTCCTCGTCTGGCGCCCACACCACCGCTCAGTATGATACACGATACACTACAGATTTCATTATAAGCACCCTTACCTGCCAGTCGCTAGTCATGGTGAGCAATCGCCCTGCCCCAGTCACCACCGCCACCTCCTCCTCGCCTATCTCGCACAGATACACCCGTATGATTCCTTACATGTATGCATGCACCCTCACCTGCCAGTCGCTAGTCATGGTGAGCAATCGCCCTGCCCCAGTTACCACCGTCACCTCCTCTTCGCCTATCTCGCACAGATACACCCGTATGATTCCTTACATGTATGCATGCACCCTCACCTGCCAGTCGCTAGTCATGGTGAGCAATCGCCCTGCCCCAGTTACCACCGTCACCTCCTCTTCGCCTATCTCGCACAGATACACCCGTATGATTCCTTACATGTATGCATGCACCCTCACCTGCCAGTCGCTAGTCATGGTGAGCAATCGCCCTGCCCCAGTTACCACCGTCACCTCCTCCTCGCCTATCTCGCACAGATACACCCGTATGATTCCTTACATGTATGCATGCACCCTCACCTGCCAGTCGCTGGTCATGGTGAGCAATCGCCCTGCCCCAGTTACCACCGCCACCTCCTCCTCGTCTGGCGCCCACACCACCGCCGCCAGCCCCCCTGTCAGCTCCCCCACTATCTCAAACCTTCCGCCCACCCCCCCATCCGCTCCGCCCAATGCTCCGCCAACCCCTCCCCCTCCGGCAAAACCGCCCAGAGTTCCGCCACTTTCCGCCTTGGCTGGGGGGAAAAAAAGCCCCATCTCCCCGCGGGAAAACGCCAAAAAGATGGCGGCATGGGATGGCAGGTAGCGCGCGGATATTATTCTGTCTGGGATGGGCAGATCGCCAGAGAGTACTAAGGGATACTCGAATAGGAGCCGACCTGTAGTTAAATCTAGACCGTAGATCGTGCACTCGTCCGTGACGCCATACAGCACAGATCCCTCTGTATCCCACGCCACCGCAACCAACCGCTCCAAACCAAACCCTTCCGCGAAATCCCCGCAGCCTTGTAGGTCAGCATCGCTGACGTGACCAGATCGCGCCTCGGGCCGTAAGACTGAATCGGACGGCCGTGGTGCGAGGGGGATGCGGTAGCGGGTTTCAGTGGAAACCACCAGATTCTGCATTGTATCAAAATTTTATCCTAATGCTCTTGAGGGGGCCTGCGGAAGAAAAAAAGCACAGCGAATGCGGCTGAACGCAAGAAACACGAGGCGATTCATTAATTGAACGCAGCTGCTCGGAGCGGAATTTGCCTGCGCGAATTCCGGCAACGAGTGAAAACACGGTGAATGGGCCAAGGAAACGCTAATCCGCGATGCACGGGTTGGCGATAGCACGTCAGAAGTATTTCCCAAGTTCCCACCCAACCCAACAGCTGAGGCTTTTGGGGATGTGTGTTTGGGTAAACTGAAGGGTCGAATTGTACTCCATATTGTCAGAGTACTTGCGCAATATTTGGAATCAAATGGTCTCCCACTTTCTTCATGCGATTTGACTATTTCATGTCACATAACAGATGAATGCCAAGAATACTCTAGCTGCATGCAAGAAACCCTCCAAAGACTACCTGAGGCTGTCATCTTATCCTCAAAGGCTA